AAACTTCGCCGCTTGTCACAACATATCCTTAACTCCTATTTTAAGTAAATTTCTTCTTAATAATCTCGGACTCGATAAAAAAATTAGATGACACGATTCTAACACAGTGTTTACCAAATCATAAACTTGTCATGTTTGATAATTTAGTGTTAGCCAAGAGATTTAGCCGTTTACGTTACAACATACCAGAAGAGGTTCACCTACTTACAAAATCTTGCACTAAGATATGAGCCAGCGTCTGATCTGAGCATGCTGATTGGAAGTTAACACCAATTTCGAATTGCAAAACTCCATCTTCCTGAATTAAAAGGACCAATTTCCATATTGTTTTCATCTTTCTTTCTTTTTATGCAGTTAGTTATTCGGTGTTGATAGATGACGTTCTAAGGCAGTCAATTTTCGCTGGTGGCATTTAATGTGCATGTTTTGATTACCATCCTCCCATTTGTTAATTGTTTCCATATGCAGATTTTAAATCTTAGCCGGAGATTTATATTGCAGTCAGCAACATATATAGTTGTGGAATTTAAGGATTTTATTGTAATGACTTGTAAAAAATCAGTACCAATAGCATTGTTCGATGTATAGCCTGTGTTTGAACTCTAACGTTGTGAACAAAAAAAATATTAAATTAGAAGTGTTACTCTTATATGATAAAACTCTACGGTATCTGATTTAAACTAGCGAAATGCTGTTGCGATTAAATGCAAATTATATCTCCAGACATTTTAGTGATATAGTAATATTTTTTTTAAACTTTATGTTAATGTTTATTATTTTTTTTAATTTAATTTTATCATGAATTTATATTAATTTTAAATTTTTTGAATGCTTATTAATTAGGAAAATGATCGTATTTTAGAGACATTTATTAAAAACCCACATATATCGACACCAACACGTATTTTGTCATATTTGTCTTCTACAGGGTTTGGGTATATTGCAACAATTATTGGCGGTTGCAAACTCGAACCTGTCCTAATTTCTGCATTATTGAGAGGTGGAGGCCCGAGACACACATTTTATCTTCCATGTGGAGAGTCTACAATTACATTGGAGGATGTCTCTAAGCATTTGGGGCTTCCCGTCGACGGAAATATTATGTATGGTGTGGCCGATGGTGATTGGCAGTCAATGTGCATGGAGTATCTTGGAGCTGTTCTGCCAGAGTTTAATGGAGGTAGAATAGCTTTATCATGGCTAAAAGCCAATTTTGAAGTTTTGAATGAAAATGCTTATGAGTATGAAGCAAAGGCATGTGCTCGGACTTATATTCTGCGAATCATTGGAGGAATATTGATGCCCGATAAATCTCGTAACCAGGTGTATTGTATGTGGTTGCATCATCTGATTGATTTTGATAAAGCTGAAAGATATAGTTGAGGCGCTCCAGTTTTGGCATCTCTTTAGAGAAATGTGTCGTGAAACGGATTATAAAAACTTGTTATCGGTGGATGTCTCCTGCTTCTCCAATCATGGGCGTGGTTCCGCATGTCTTTCTTATGCCCGATTGTTAATGAGTCATACGTATTCCCCTTATTATTGAGGTAATTTCCTAACTAAATTTGATTTTAATATTTTAATTAAATAGGGTGATATTTAGTTTATATTATATTTCATAGGTGGTCGATGAAAAGAAAAAATCTTAGAGATATCCCTACTGAACTAGAGGAAATCCGTTTACTTATTGATACAAAAGCTGGGTTTGAGGTATGTTTTTAAATCTGTTTAAATATGAATAATTTAATTTAAAATGCTAGTTATAATTAGAATATTATATTTATTTGAATTGTATATTTATATTTCAGTTTCAGTGGATACCTTATGCGAGCGATGAACTAAAGGCTTGCATCCCACCCCACCTGAGCAGGTCATTAGATGTCAGTTGTACCTCTTATATGTTATGCTATTGTTGAGTGGCATCCGGTTGATCGTGTGCTCCGTCAGTTTTGTTGTACGCAATATATTTCTGGAGCACCTAGGAATTTAGACGACATGCATAACATAGACAGAAGAGGAAAGAAAGAGGTCAACTGGGTGGTGAGACACAAAGATTGGATTGCGATTTGGGAGAACTGGTATGCACAGTTGCCCCCTCAACAATTTTACGCTGAAACTGGTCATATTGTTATGGATAGCTATATGGAGTGGTTTAATGAAAATAGAAAGCTATTTCTACTTTCGTCGGAAGCACGAGGGGTTAGCATTCATAGGCATCGAGATAGACGTCCACCGTCTTAATATCATCGTCCCCCGACTCGTGGACGGAGAGAAGATGCTACCGGTTCGGCATCAGTCGTACGACCAGAACCATCACAACATCCATATCCACCGATGATGATGCCACAGGGGTACATACCCAGCCCTCCAGTTCAGATGCCATCTCCGCAAGGGCATATGCCATCTCCGCTGGGTTGCATTCCTAGCCCGCAGGGTTATATTCCTAGCCCGCCAAGTTTCATGCCTAGCCCATATGGTTTTATAAAACCCTATGGAGGTGCATATACAGCTATGTTTAATGATCCAACATATGGTTCATATGCATCTTATTTGGCTGGTGGTGCTTCTCCACAGACACCTCAAACTCCATCTGGATCACAGACATTGATGCCAATGTTTTCACAGTTTTCTCAATTGTCTATAAGTGGTGGGATTGTGAGTAACACTCCACCAGGGTTGTTATTTTATACAGGACCTTCATCTTCATCTATGCCAAATGAATAAAATGTCGATGATGATGATGATAGTGAAGATGAGGAGACTGAAGAGCAAGTTATACGAAGAAATCCTCAGCGAAATAGACAACCACCGGTATGTGGAACTCATTCGAGAAGACAACATCGATGATCCAGTTGTATTTTAATGCTATTTAAATAGTTATATTTTAGAAATTTATGTAATTTTGTAATGTTATTTAAATGTTTAATGGTTTCGTGAATTATTTTTAATGTTATTTTGTAAAGTTATATTTTTAAAGTTATTTTTTATTCAAATTCAACATGAAATGTTTTTTAAAATACAAATCCAAATTCAACTTAATATTCCAATTGAAATTTAAAATTGTATTCGAAATTTAAAGTTATATTCCAATTATAGTTCACAGTACTTAAATTGAAACTTAAATTACATTGTCTTGTAAAAATTATTTAAAAAATAATTCCACAGTAGTTAATGAGCATCATTATAAAACATATACATTAAAACCCACGTGTTATAATCTCATTAACAAAGGTTCACTTTCACCACTGACCCCTGAGACGCACTTTCACCACTTTGTTATATCCCCTCAAACATGATAGGTACTGACATGAATAGTGCCCTCGAGGACATGACTCACATAATAGTGCCCTCAGTGTATTAATGCAGTGAAGTACTGTAAACCAGTTGTCCAATTGATGGTACTTTCTTGTATGGGAAATACAAGCAAGTTTTATTATTGGTTTTGGTCCAAGATGGTAACCACAATATTCTTCATGTTGCATTTGCCCTCGTTCAAGGAGAAGACACTAAGTCTTGGGCTTTTTTCCTTAAAAATTTACGTTTACATGTTGTCACAAGGGAACACATATGCATTATTTCAGACCGAGGAGCTGGGATAAAAGCAGCAATGGACTCTTTGGGTCCAATGTGGAAACCTCCACATGTTCAACATCATTATTATGTCTGTCATATTGCTGCAAACTATTACGGAAAATACAAGAAGAATGATGAACGTCAATTAGTTGTGCGCATGGGTATGTTACTTTTTTCCAATTTTTCATTCATTTTCGTATTACTTATTTATACTTCATATTAACTATTATAAATTTCTAATGGCTTAGGTTATGAACTCTTACCTCAAATATTTGAGTCTATGCTACAAGAATTGTTTGACAAAAATAAGAAGGGATGCGAGTACATTATGGACATCAGCAAAGAAATGTGGACAAATGCGTATGAAGGGGGGGTATCGCTATGGTCATATGACAACCAACTTGGTTGAAGCAATCAATTCAACCTTAAAAGGGGCGCGTCATTTACCAGTCACGGCATTAGTCAAAACGACTTATTTTCGTTTGGGTCAACTATTTGCAAAGCTCGGTGGACAAACTCTTACTTGGATGCAGAACGACCATATTTATCACCCAAGACTAGTAGCTGATTTACAGAAAAAAGTGGCTACATTAAATGGGATGTTGGTTACAAATTTTTCTCGCACCCGTGAATTATTTTGTGTAACCGAAATGCCTCGTCCTCTTCAAGGGATTGAAGCTAACACTTTCAGAGTTAATCTGTAAGAGAGGTGGTGTGATTGTGGTTTCTTTCAAGCACTCAAATATCCATCCTCTCATGTCATTGTAGCTTGCTCACATTTGCATTTGGACTACAAAAATTATGTTGATCACGTATACCAACTTTAACAAGTATTCAAGGTACATGAATTTGAGTTTCCGCCCATAGGTAATGAAAGAGACCCAGATGAGATTCAAACTTGGCTTACAATTGTACCAGATCCGTTTCTATTAAGGGACTCAGATCGTCCAAAATCCACTAGAATACATTGTGATATGGATATTCGGGAGCGGTCAATAGAACAAAAAAGATGTGGGCATTGCAGAAACATCGGGCACAATAGAAAAAAAATGTCCAGCTCTATTGTCATCACATAACCGTTAACCCTTATGTAATTGTATTTTCTATTTCAATGAATGTTTTGGTTTCTAATATATAAATGTAATTGCATTTTCTATAATTTCTCAATGTATGTATATTTTCTGCCTAAATTTTCCACTTACCTCTTACTTCAACTAGTTAACATTTTCAATTTAATTGAACCTAACCCTAAAGGCTCGTCCCTGAAACGTATAACACTTTACCATAAATTTACTCCACCTTTAATACACATTTAAAAAATACATTCGACAATTCTTAAATCATAACCGAAATAGTTTACATAATAAATTACTAATTTATAATAACAATAAACATTAAATCTTTATTAAAAAAAACCAACGTGGCATCCGACTCAGCTGAAACCCCGTGAAAGCGCGTCTCCAGGGATGCGCCTTTGTGCCAACTCAGCTGAAAGGGTGTTACTTCGGGAAATATTGATCAAACGGTGTTAGTTCAGGCATACTAAACTGATAGGGTGTTACGTCAAATCGCCCAAAATTTTGGCTGTTGAAACCAACAAAGGCGACCGCCGCAGTTTTCCCTATGTTGAACTGGAAATGAATCATACCCAATGGGAAAACAAAAACATCTCCGGGGTTTAATATTTTCGTGAAGAGACGGTTGTCCGGGTTTGATGTAACTATGGCGACATAAAGTGTGCCTTCGACAAGAAGTAAAAACTCAGATCCTCGAGGGTGAAAGTGAGGAGGGTTAACGCCATGAGGCGCAAAGTCGACTCGAGCCAGAGATAAGCCGAGAGTGTTAAGTCCTGGAAATGCATCAACATTGACCACAGTGACATTTGATCCAACTGGATTAGCTGTGTTCCCCTGCTTGTTTAGGCCTGAAAAAAATAAATCTTCTGCAACTGCAAGCTTCGGGTCTTTGCAGAATTTACCGTTTACAAACACTGCAATGAAGAAACGTTAAAAGTTATATTAAAACATTGAAACTAAACTGAATTTTCTTCAGCTGAGGCTTTAACATAAAGTGGACTACATACCGCCATTTTTTATGTCCTTGACAGCAACACAGAAATCCTGGAGAGGACTGGGATCATACGCCGAGGCCAATGAGCAAGCCAAAGCCAAGAGGCTGAAAGCTATAAGAATGGAATGAATTCCTTTCATTATGATATAGCAGAAGTGATTAACTTCTTGTTTGCTATTGCTTTGGAGAATATTGAGGAACTTTGCATGGCAGATGAAGCTTTTTATAGATGGAAACAAACGATCACTTCATTATTTTTCCACGAGTAGCAGGTAAAGACTGTCACGGTCAGCTGACCGGGAACGTATCAGAGTTTAGCGGCTTGAATTTACTCATTCTATGGATTTGCATGCTTATTTTTTCTGGAACTTATTTTTCATGTTTCTGTCTATGGTATTTTTGCAGTTTAAGCTCCTGCTATCAGATTTCAGATTTCTGATCATAGACTTCTCAGACTCTTTTGTGTTTATCGAACTAGTAATTAGCAAATAAACATTGCTCAAAGAATATACCCAGATTTCTTGCAGAAAACTGATCAAGTAAAAAGTAAACAGAGAGTTGTTAAAAGATTGGTAGTTGAGAATGACATTAAGCAGCAGATAAAACGAGCTTAACAAATCTGATGACAAAAACATCTGCTAGTATTATTTATGTGATGGAAAAACATTTTTTATTGACGCAAAACCTGCTTCCTTAGTTAAGTAAGAAGAAAATTGATCGATTGAAGGTAATTCAACTAATATTTATATATAAATTGGGGTGTGGTTAACTACTACTTTGAATTTGACCACGTGGAAGGTTACAAACTAACTAATATGGGAAAATTATTTGATATAAATACATAATATTCGTTGTAATAATAACAATATGTAATAATGTAAGCACGATAATAACGAGTATAAGACAATCATAAAATTAAAAATATAATATTTAACGAGTATAAGCAGAGGCCCGTAAAAAGCCTATTTCATTTCACATTTCAGAAAGAAATAAAAAAACTAATGTTAACTATAAATAACGAACGACGACTTCAACAATTACTCAACGCATTTTACTTCACATCAGGAATTGAACTGAAGATTCTTCACCGTTTTCCTGTCGAGATGGAAAGCCTTGGCCAGAATATGAGCATTGATGGGAGGGTTTGAGCCGAAGACTGCATTAGAAACGGTGATCACCCCTGGGTTTTGGCTGTTCAGACTAGCAAAGGCCACTGCATGGGTGTTCCCATTGTCTGCATGGGTGATCACCGTTTTCCTGAATTCGACGTGTTTTTGCGGATATGGAGCCCGGAAAAGTAGAAGTCACCTACTCTGGCTAGCTTGGCGCCTTTGCAGACTTTCCCATTGACAGAAACTGCATGAAAGCATGAAAAATGTTACTATGTTAATTCGGGTGTGAGTGTCGAATACGAATATATATCAGAAAGGACGGAGAGAACATACCAGAACCGTTGGGGTCAGCTTCACAGAAATCCTGAAGAGGACTAGGATCAGAGGCAAAGGCAAAGGCCAAAGACGATGCAAGAGACAAGATGAAAAAGGCTTGGATGATCTCAAGACCTTCCATTTTCATGTAATGGTAGCTTTATATCAGAAGAGTTACGTGAAAGAATGGCCATTTATAGGTTGAAGACATTGAATTAGTCCATGAATTTAGCTCGCTTTATTTAATTTTACCATAGCAGACAATACATATTGAAACACAAGAATCATTTTTTAATTACCTTGTGAATCATTCTTCTGCAGGCCTGCATGAAAGAACTAATATAATTCATCTTCCTTTTGCTTAAAACAGGGCATATTGAAACAGAAGAGTCGATGGGATGCTGGCAATTTATGGATTGAAAGTGACTCCAACTGTATCTCAAATGAAGTAATGCTTCATACAAGAAAAGGCACAGTTTAATCCTAATAATATTATAGAATATGACTGATGCTTCGATTCGTCATACGCTACGGAATTTGACAATGAAACCTAGTATTTTCCCAATTCATTCATTTATTTACGGGTAAATTACAAAGAGTAGTCATTCAATTTTGGGTTTGGTTCTATTTGGTCACCCAACTTTAAAACCTTTTATTGTAATCATTTAACTTTTCAGAACGGTTAAATTGTTAATGGAATAATGATGTGATTTCTATTTTATTATAATAACATATTTAATCCTTAATATCTATACATTCAATTTAGTTTGTCTTAATTATAAATAAATCAATAAATTTTAATCCTTCAATTGTATAAAATCTATTAATTTGACCTCATCTATTAATTTGACCTTTAACCACCGTCAAACTCTACATATATTAGAAATTGTATTTTGAAATAATAATGAAGTGTGATGTAATTATTGTTTAGTTCATTTCTGACGCCAGACAGAATAGTGATTATCCTGTAGGCTAGTTCCGACAGACGATTCACAAGAGAAAATTCGTCCAAAAACCAGAGAAAAAAAGTCTCTAGGGTTTAATAAAATATTATAAAATCAAACAATGCAAAAAAGCAGTCCACAAGCCGGACTGTTATAGCAAAAAAATGGTCTTTATTCGAATTTTGCCAAAAATAGCAAAATCCCGAAAATCACTCTAAATTGAAATTCGAAATAAAATAAGCAATCTCCCAAAAATCCGGCCTAAATCGGATTTAAATTGACTTCCTAATTAACAATCGAAATATTACCATAAATAGTAAAAAATAACTAAATCTAGTGATTCGGAGGGGAAAACGGCAGAATTTGAGGTTGAAAAAAAAGGCCACATGGAGCGTAATGTGGAGAGCGTACGCGTCGAAAAGAGCTTTTCGAATTGGGGTCTTATGCGCGATTCTGACACCTGTAGCCAAAGTTATGGCCAAAAGACTGAAACATACTCAAAACGACCCCAATGAGGAACATGTCACAATCAATTCCCGCCTTTGCGCTGATCTGCCAACTCATGGCATCTCAGCGCCATCAACGTGCAATCTGACAGCTCAGCATCATCTGTCTCGGATCCCCCTGCATCAATTTCTTAACTATGTTTGTAGTTTTTATTACTATCTATAAGAATGGAATGCATTTCATAATCAATCGCACTCATAATAAGAAAAATTAATTATAAAAGTATTATATCGGGTTTTAAAGCGGTGTCTAAACTGTTTTTCAGTCAGTTTAGGTGTTTAACGTTACAAACATTATCACATATGTGTTTGATTCGTAACAGTCGTTATAAGATTCCGTTATCCATTACGTGTTAAATTTATAGATTTTTAATTTTTTAAAATCCCAAAATTATCATAAATCTAAAAAAAACCCTAAACTCTTAACCACCTTAATTTTAATCCCTAAACTCACACCGACCGTCGACCTTATCACTGTTATCATTGATTGAACCTCCACCAACAATCACTGTAATATCTCAAATTTTGGACTAGTGACTAGAATGTAAAAACTCAAAAGTTTAGGGATTAAAAATGTAAATTTTTAAAAGCTTTGTTTTGGGTATGTAAATAAGTAGTTCAACCCAAGACAATTATTTTAGTTTGTTCAGATTTTTGATCTGGAGTTTGCATAAAAGTATATTAATTAATAAAGTTTGGTATATTATTCGGATAACCGAATTGAATATACATAATTATTATATTAGTTAAAATACTAATTCGTATTCGAAATTGTTTATGTCGGGAAATCGACATCGGGTAGATCGCGATAAAAACCAAATATAAAGCGAACGAAAGGAAAATGATTAAGTTTAAGAGTTCAGCGAAAATAACATTTAAAGCGTAGAGAGACATCACGTGAGTGCAACTTACTTATTTTATATTCGATATGAGGACGGCTTGCAATGAGCCAACCTTGAAGGTTTTCAATTGAAAACAATTTGAATTATTTTATAAAATATCTTTATATTGATTTACTAAATGGTTTTTATATGATTTTGGGTTTGAATAATCCAAATTATTTTATTCGATATTTTATTTCCTAACATGTGAATATTTTTGGATATGAACTGCCCATATTTGGTTTTTTAAGATTTTTTTATATTTGATTATATGGATGAATTGTTTTAATATGCAAATAGTATATGATTTTTAATAAGCCTATTGTATAAGAATGATGTTTAGTGGTACAATGGCATGCCATGAGGTGGAATGAATTTGTATTTGTTTCAAATCTGACACCAAGATGGATCACTCATGGTCTAACTCATGTACTCTAGTGGTGCGCGAGGTGGAGTGATCCGGTGCGATCTGTCTGGCACTATATGTGCATTATATGATATGGCACCATAGATGGGTCACTCGTATCTGACTCGACGTATCTTAGTGGTGCACGAGGTAGAGTGATTCGGTGCAATCTGTTATATTAGTTTCGACTGCATATAGCACCCTCACTCGTTATCTGACTCACATACCATTTAATTCTCATGCTAATACAATGGGCAAATATCTTATATGAACAAGAAAAGTATTGATTTGAAATGATCTGACTTCGAAAAGAAAAGTATAATTTTGCAATGATATGAACTGAAATAGAAAAGTACATATCTAAAATGGTACAATACAGTCTGAATTACAGATTTCTATAATAAATTCTTATTACGAGTTAACATATGATTTTATGCATATTTTATTTTATTAATATTTTTATCTGATATTGTCTGTTTTATACGTTAAATATTTTATTTATTTTACTTTACTTTGTTGCCTCACTAAGTTAAAACTTAGCGTGTAGGGAGCATATCAACATCGTTTTTGAGGAATCGATTATCCCACCAAAATTAGTAAGTAAAGACATCATGTCTGTTAATTTATTTGGTAGTGACATGTATATTAAAGAAACTTCTAGCTGCTCTGATTCGAGTATGTTTAAGATATTTTTTTGTTTAAATTATGAAGGTTTAGTTTACAAAGGACACTATTAATTATGAATATTGGTTTATTAAATCTAATTATTTATGATAGAAATTATTTTCAAATTAGGTAATTTTCTGGCAGTTTTGATTTAAGATATGTTACAGTACAAAACTATTTAAAATTCTATCTGAATTGAATTTAAATTTTGACATTAAATATTAAATTATGATTTTGTGTGATTATTAGTTTTAAAATAAAGAAATACATTTTGAAATTTTTAAAGAAATAAATTTTTATTGATTTTCAAATAGTAAATGTTTCGTATGACTGATGTGACATCTTTGACTCATATACGGACATGTATATAGGTTAAGGGTGTTACAATTTTTGGTATTAGAGTTGTAGGTTTAGCCGATTTCTCGGCCTAAACCGGAAAGAAAATGTGTCAAAAATTTATACATGCCATTAAGATGTCTAAATTATTGATATGGTGTGATTAAGTGACTAGATGAATAATGCTGATTTATTACTTAATGTGAGATGGTATAAGAGTAAACTCGATAGTGTAATGATATAGTATGAAATGTCAGTTTAGTGATATTATTTGATAAGTCAAAAAGCAAGATCGGGATTGTTTTTAATTTGAATAAACTAGAGGAAACTCTAGTTTACTATTCTAGAAAGGTTAGTGTCGTATGAAATTTTCTTCATGTTGCAAAAGGAATGTTGTATCAATGGGTAAAGAGTAAATTGACACGAGATATCAGTTCACTCAATAGGAAAACAATGATATCAATTTAGAGGAATGTTGGATTAGAATTGATCTCGGAATATAGAACGATGGGTAAATGTTTTGGGGCACAAAGGCAATGATAAATAGCTTATAAGTCGCTATCGAGGATTTAGATTAATTTCGGTTAGAGATTAGATATTTTTGTTGTCAAGCCCAAATATATTGTTCTTCAAAGTTAACAATTCAGAAAGGCTTGAAAAAGATTACGAGATTATGATGATTGAGAAAGAGAGTTGAGAAAAGGAAAGATTTTATAGGAAACAATCGTGAGCATAAAATGATTAACCTCCACAATTAGAATGCGAAAATGATTTGTTTTGATAAAGATCGCTTAATAGGGATTGACGAGTTTTGTAATTAAAAGTATATTAGTATTTCTTTTTAATTTAATTTTGATTGGATATTAGAATTCGATGCGATTAATGTGAGTTTGACGAAATATTTTTCAAGTTGAATTAGGTTTTTTAATATTTACGTGTTAGGGAACCGAATTCCCAATCGTACGTGAATGTCAATGATAATTGTATTTTCCTAATGATATTTCGATTTAATTAAGATAAAGGAAGGACATGAAGTAGAATTTCGAATAATGGTTCAAACTTTCTAAAAGGAAATAAAGGTAGAACGGTAGAAAGTATAGTATATGTACGAGCTATGATTGAGTAGAATTTTGAAAAGTTATTCTGAACTCGAAATCTTTTGAAATTCACTAATTATTCAAAAGATTCATAAAGAGACTCTCGATGACTCCCTCCCCACTAACCAAGTTATTAGGAAATGAAACAATATTTATTTGAATTGGTAAGAAGCAAGGAAATGAATGGTATTAAATAGTAAGATCAGTTGGAAATTGATAGTTTGGAAGGTAAGTAGAGGAAGTCATTAAAATTTTATAGAGGATATTTGAAAATGATTCTCAAGTGGTAAAGTAAACAAATCAAGT